CAGGACTTGTTTGGAAGTTGGATCGTTCTGACTGGTGATGGTTTGGCCCTTTGGGTGAAGGTAAAGGTTTCGATTGGCTTGGCTATGATGAATAGTGTGTTTTATTTGGGGTTTGGTTTATTTGAAATACAGTGGAAGGGTTCAACCGTAGGATTTGTGAACAGTGGGTTGCTAGGGTATTTTCTTTGTGCCTGAACAGTAGGTTTTAGTAACTGTGATGATTATTGCTTGTTACTTGGATCTTTCACTCTGATCTTGGATCTTCTCCTCTGATACCAATTGAAGTAGGACAAGAAGTGTTTGGATACGAACCAGAAAGAAAGAACGGGATGAGAATGAGAAGATGAGATGGGGCTAGATGAAGGAGGTGAGAAGACAGAGGGGATGAGAAGATAGAACAAGGAAGATTAGAGAGACTGAGGGATCGAGAAAAACAAGAAGAAAGAGAGAGGAGAACAGAGGAAGAGAGTTTGCAACCTCACGATATTATTCAATAATCCAAAGTTGACTTGGTTGATTACATTGTAGCCTTTATATAGCCAAACATAAACAAACCCTAAAACAATAAAGTACTAAAATATCACTAAAATTAAAACAGTACTAAAAATAACCATAAGCATAAATAAAATCCCTAATTTTATTTTTCTTTCTCTCTTCTCCAAAAGTAATGCTGAAGCATGTGCAACTCAAGAGTGCAAATCAAATCTTGTTCCCCATCATTTAGTTTCAAGAATTCTCTCTCCTTGTACATAGCTGCTATTTACCATTATTTAACCTAGCACAAACTCATCAACACGTTCAGATTCTTCCATTTTTAAACTTTTAAACTTGGTTGTAAGAATTTGAATATCAGAAATCTTATCAGTGGTAATACCTTCATGAATTTTTTCTAAGATTTCCCAGACTTCTTTAGCAGAAGTACAATTGGAGATCCTAGCAAAGCAGCAGGATGCACAACAGTAGAGAAAGCATTTAGAGCGTTAGAGTTATAATTAGCCTCACGTATTTTTTCCTTCAACCATTCCGTGCTAGGTTTGGGTGCATGATGCATCTCAACCATCTACAACTTGTATTTGATACCATCGGACCATTGGCTTAGGTGGTATAGCCTCTCCACCGCAAAGGGGAAGTGAGGGGTTCGGGTCGCCAAGTGGGGAAAATTTGTGCGGGTGTATGTTGTTTACCTAATAAATAAATAAACAAAAGAAAAAGCTTGATTGGATGCTCCCATCCAATCTCTAATGCAGTCCAGACCTTCTCATCGAGAGACTTGAGTAACGCCCTCATTAAAAAGACGCAGCAGAAATTTAAATCCTAATAACTAGTAGGCACATAATTCATTCCATCCATAAATTCATCATGCATGTGAAATTATAAAGGAGTAATAAAAAGTAATCACACATGGAAAAGAAGAATATTTATGTGGGAAACCCAAAAAGGAAAAACCACAGGACCTAGCCGCGTAGATCAAAATACGCTATGTAAGAAAGAGGTTTGCAACTAAGTTACCAAATTCTATCTAGAATATCTTAGTCCCTAACTCAGATTTATGCAAGATCTCCCTAGATCCTTCCAACTCATGATCTATCAACAAAATGCTCCCCAATCAAAGATTACTAGAATGCACAATGTAAGTATGTGCTATAGTATGTGCCTGGACGCTCTGTAATGCTGTGCTCAAGTTTTCAAAACTTTGAGTGCCTTTATACAGAGTTTACGAACAAAGAAAAAAAAAAAAAAAAACTAGGGTTTTGAGTGATTCAACAAGGAAACTCAGAATCGAACTACTAGATTGATCGAGCCAAGTGTGGATCGATTGACACCAGGCTAGTAGGCTTCAATAGATCCCTCCATTGACCAAAGTCTCATGTCCTTTTCTGAATTGGATCTGATTTTAAGTAGTTCCAAACACTTTTATGCATATCAAAAAGGATTTATTTGAAACAAACATAAAAAAACATGAACCCTAATTGATGCATGCATGAACCCTAGTGTTGATGAGTATTCTAATATAAGTTGTAATTACCTTTCTGCCCTTATATACGAAAAATTCCAGATCTGTACTTGGACAAGGTACCACGACTAGCTTAAGTAACCAGACACTCTAACGAAAAAAAAAAGAAAGAAAGAAATAGGCACCAAGTTTTTTTTATCACAAATTTGCCAACCTAAATGCTATTATCTTAACATCTTTCCCTCTCGAAGAGCTCTCTCTACAGATAAACCTCAACTAGCGAGGAGATCTTTTCTACCCTCTATGGATAAACCTATACTGCCGAGAAGCTCCTCTCTACAATAAACCTCCAGAGGAGTTCCTCCCTACGAATAAACCTCTACTGCCAAGGAGATCCTCTCTACAGATAAAGCTCTCAGAGATCCTCTCTACAAATGAACCTCTCGGAGATCCCTCTCTGTAGATAAACCTCTCTGGGAGTTCCTCTCTGCGGATAAACCTCTACTGGCAAGGAATTCCTTTATGCGCATAAATCTCTCGAGGAATTCCTCACTACTGATTAACTTTGTGTACAACACTCCACAGCCCCATAGGGGTGGGACCTCGAACCATGACCCTATTTCGGGAGCCTAGAGAGTGTTCGCTTGGTGGCTCAAGTTCAAGGAACACCAAGATGAAGAACCTCACCCATCCTATAAGAGGCCAAGGTCTCTCTTAGTCTATCACAAAGGAAGGAAGAACTATAATCTCCTCTAAAGCAGAACGAGCTCTATGATCCTCGCATTTAATGCAAAATCCTCATTGTCAGGAGAGCATTTCCTTCTTTACCCTCACTCGACCACCAATAGAAAAAACATTCTGCCCAAGGCCCCTAAAAGATCACACCCCTAATGGGTAAAGACCATAGGACAATATTTGGAGCCGCAGATCTTACCCTTCTGTAATTTAGCATAAATAGAGTTAGTGTTTCATTTAAGACAATGAACAACCACCCAATAGCTCATTAATAACACTCATTACTGCAATCCTATCCTCAGGGAGATCACAAAAAGGAACCTTGCGCTCTTCCTAGAACTCCCCTCTCGAGCCCCCCTTTATGACAACTCAGATTTCCACCTAGGCTTCTATTCTCTGGTGACCCCTATAATGGCAAGAATGACCTCGTCTTCAAGAACCCCACACAAAAGAATTCATAGCCGTATTGAAGATGGAAACGTATTACTTATAAAATAAAATAAAAATAAAAAATTGAAGATGGAAATGTATTGAACAATGTTAAAAATTAAGTTGCATTGACCTCTATGGTTGTAGAAGATGAAGTGGTAGATATTAATCATATTTTGTATTTGATAGTATTACAAAGCATAAATCTTGTTTTCCTTCTCCCTTTGTTAAATGTGACTTCTTGTATATATTCTTCTTCCTCCCTCTTATTTACGCACATTAAAAATTCTCAATTCATCTCATGCATATTTAACCAAAAGGAAAATTATTTATTGAAAGGAAATCATCTTAGTACTTAAATTAATGATTTTTATTTATAGAAAGGTGGTCATCTTAGTACTTAAATTGATGGAAAAAAAAAAATATATATATATATATATATATATATATATATTTTTCCTACCATTATTCATCTTCAACCATTTATGATATATTTGTAGTCTTTACATATGCCATTTCTAGCATAGGTGCCCCATTCTCTCTCCTCTCCTTTCCTTGTCTTTCCTCCACCAATCACAAGCACTTTATCCTTTACAGTGTGACGTGTGAGAACCCCCAAGAAAGAGTAAACTAAAAAATAATGCTAAACAAACTTTGACCAGTAAATTAGTGTGTCTTATGAATCAAGTCATAATAAAACAATTTCATAACACATGTACATGTAGTTTATAATACATTCCAAACCGAACAACAAAAATACAGCCAGGACGAAGAAAAAGGAAAAGAACTCCTCTTTGTTTACAGCCGTTGTTACTTTAGCGCTTTGTTTTACTCTTGGCAAAATAATAAAGAAAAAATAACAAAATCTAAGATATAATAAAGTAGCTTCCTGTTTTCGGCATCCTGAAGCATTTATTGATCCCTCTATTCATTCGTTTCAAGAATAACACCAAGTAAATTAATCAAGACTCTCTCTATTAGTCATCCATGAGGACCATGACAATTAATGGAATTTCACTTTTCAGATAATCTTTAAGAAAAGAACAAGAACAATACTCATAGTAAGAACCTACTTTGTCTGCAATCATACGTTTGGGGAAAAAAAATGATCAATGAAAAACATCACAGTAACAGTAATGAAGTGGCTAATACTAATAGTAATAGCCCAACACAAATTTTAAGCCATATACTCAAAGGTACAACCAAATCAAAGAAAAGGGTGAGGTATTCCTGCAAAATAATTTTAGTTTTTTACTATTCAATAATGTCTTTCTGCTCATAAGTTATAATTAGTAATAGTGCCATTCTACCATGTCTGCCGAAAGCTCTCTCTCAAAGTAAATTCAACACGAGAATGCATGACAAAGCATTTTCTAAAGCAATGAAATACTCACTCCTCAGCCACCACAGCTTCATTGAGTAACTCAACAATATAAATAAATAAATAAATCTAACTTTTTCCTATAAAATGAGGCCGGAATGGGGCATAATATTTCTTTAGAACACCAACTAGTGCTTCAATTATAGGTTTCACATATTTCAATACACAATTTTAAATTTTGGTTTTTCAAACATTAAAAGTTCCATTACAGAAGCTTAAATACAAAATCCCAGTACAAATTTCTACCAAAATCACACCAACACAGTTGATCCAGTCAAATCCGTGATCATGAAAATTCAAATTAGAAGCATTTCTACTTGAAAGCTTAAGATATTCAATCACGGAAATTCATCAGAAAGTACGTGCAAGGATTGTGAAATGAAACCCTAAACAAAGAAAGAGAAAACTGGGGGGGGGGGGGGGGGGGGGGGGGGGGTGGTTGGGGTGGTGGAATTAAACCCTGATGTTGGGTTGCAACGAGAAAGAGTGATCGAATGATACCTTGATGAAGTGAGATTAGAAGTGGACGAGAAGAAAGAGACGGAAGCCCAGTCATGCTTCGATCGAATCTGATACTCTCTCAGCTGTTCCGCCAGATTCGAACGCGTTATCATCGCTCCGACCCCGCCCCTCTTTCTTCCCCTCTCTCTCTCTAAAATACCTCTATGTGTCTCTATATATTTATAAAATTCAGTTTAATATTCTGTGACGACTTCGCACATAGACAAAGGGGGACGAATTTGAAAAGAGAGAGACCAAAGGCACCAACGTTCGTTTTGGGTACACTTTTTTTCTCATGATGCTTTATCTCACTACTGGCATCGCAATTGGGCATTACGCTGTTTCGGATTTAGCCCAAACGTGCCTTCTACGCGGAAAGGCCAAAAGCTAGGAAAAAAAAAAAAAACCAAAGAAGGGTACTAGGTGTGGTCATGAATTTAAATGGACAGTGAATTTTGTTGGCCTAATTAACATTGGATTAAAGATCTACTATTTTTGAACTTTTTTCATATTTATATTGAAATTAACCCTAATATTGTTCCATGTAATCGAATCCAGTACAAAGATTTTATTGCGCAAAACCATTATCTTTTCTTGCAAACCCACTGTCTTTCTTTTCTTACAAGAAGGGTACTAGGTGTGGTCATGAATTTAGATGGACACTGAATTTTGTTGGCCTAATTAACATTGGATTAAAGATCTACTATTTTTGAACTTTTTTCATATTTATATTGAAATTAACCCTAATATTGTACCATGTAATCGAATCCAGTACAAAGATTTTATTGCGCAAAACCACTACCTTTTCTTGCAAACCCACTGTCTTTCTTTTCTTACAAGTCAATACATTCATTCCAGAGGAAACTTATTTAAAACAACAAACCCTACCTCCACATCCATTCAAGGCCCACTTGCCATTTCGCCTCAATCACTCTCATCCGTTCGTCATCGTCTTCTTTCTAATTTTTCTCTCTGTGTGTGTACACTTTCTATATATATATATTGAAATAAGCCCCAATAGTGTTCTATGTGACCGAATCCAGTACAAAGATTTCACTGTGCAAAATCAGTGTCATTCTTTTCTTGCAAGAAACCTATTTAAGACAACAAACCCTAGCCGCATCAATTCCCAAGCCACTTTCCATTCCGCCTCAATCACTCTCTTATGTCCGTCATCGTTTTCTTCTTTCTGATTTTTCTCTCTGTGTGTACTCTTTCCATATATATATTGAAATTAGCTACAATATTGTTCCACGTGACTGAATTCAGTACAAAGATTTCTCTGCGCAAAACATGTGTCATTCTTTTCTTGCAAGTCAATACATTCCAAAGGAAACCTATTTACGACAACAAAAACAATCTCCGCATCCATTCTAGAGCCCCATTCCATTTCGCCTTAATCACTCTTGTCCTCCCGTAATCGTCTTATTCTTTCTGATTTTTCTCTCTCTATGTGTACCCTTTCCATATATATATATTGAAATCAGCTACATTATTGTTCCATGTGACCAAATTCAGTACAAAGATTTCACTACGCAAAACCTATGTCTTTCTTTTCTTGCAAGTCAATACATTCCAGAGGAAACCTATTTAAGACAACAAACCCTACCTCCGAATCCATTCCAGAGCCATTTTTCATTCCGCCTCAATCACTTTCTTCTATCAGTCCATCATCATCATCTTCTTTCCGATTTTTCTTTCTCTGTGTGTACTCTTTCCATATATATATTGAAATCAGCCCCAATATTGTTCCATGTGACCGAATCCAATACAGATATTTCATTGCGCAAAACCTGTGTATTTTTTTTCTTGCAAGTCAAAACATTCCAGAGGAAACCAATTTAAGACAACAAATCCAACCTCCGCATCCATTACAGACCAACTTTTCATTCCGCCTCAATCACTCTCGTCCGTCCGTCCGTCCGTCATCGTCTTTTTCTTTCTGATTTTTCTATCTCTGTATATACTATTTCCATATATATATTGAAATCAGCCCAATCTTGTCTTCTTTATGGTTTTTCTCTCTCTGTGTGTACTTTTTCCATATATATATTGAAATCAGCCCCAATATTGTTCCATGTAACCAAATCCAGTACAAAGATTTCACTACGCAAAACATTTGTCTTTCTTTTCTTGCAAGTTAATACATTCCAGAGGAAACCTATTTAAGACAACAAACCCTAACTCCCCACCCATTCCAGAGCCACTTTCCATTCCGCCTCAATCACTCTCGTCCGTCCATCTGTCATCGACTTCTTTTTTCTAATTTTTCTCTCTCTGTGTGTACTCTTTCCATATATATATTTGTTAGTCACTAATTGACTCTAGAGGGGGGTGGATAGAGTCAATGGCCAATTTTTCAAGTTTACAAATTTAATTTCTAATCAATAAATATGCAATACACAATTATGATAGATAAATAATTTAAAGCATAAATGTAAGAGAGATAGGGATAAGAAAATTGCAAACAATGACTCGGAGATTTTAGCGAGGTTCGGAAACTGCTACTCCTCGGCTCAAGATGCCTGTTGACACTTCCCAATCCACTAGACCTTCTCTTTAATGATGGAGAGCAAACCTTCACATGTTGCTTCTTTTTCTTGCTAGGAGAACACCCTTTTCCTAAGTTTCTTTTGGGTTACACCAACCTTTACAAGTTTGTAGAAAAGTTTATAATTGAAATACAAGATTGAATCTCTCTCAAGATAGATATACAAGAAAGCTCACAAGACTAGAGTAATAAATGAATCAAATGAAACTCAAGTCTAATATGATTGAATGAATAATTGCTACAGTAAATGCTCTTGAATGATATTTCAAATATCCTTTCAACCACACCCTTACCTTATTTAATGTTTGACCTTATATAGAGTGAAGAGGAAGATGAAATGCATTAATTGCTCAAATATGTCTGTTGGAGTTAGTTGCGGAGCATTAAATAAGTAATGTAACCGTTGGAGCAATAAATACTGGAGTTTCAGATCTGTCTCAGCTCATTTAAATTGCTCGAGATAATGAGATTAGATCTCATCTAACCGGTTATAGGATTCTTCCTAACCGGTTACATCAACTATGAGACTTTTTCAGTTTTAGACCAACTACTCGAGTACAGAAGGCTCCCTAACCAGTTACATCATTGGCCAAGAAAAGTGGTATTTTGTTTAAGCAAAGATAACCGGTTACATCATTGGCCAAGAAAAATGGTATTCTATTTAAGCGAAGGTAAACGGTTACATAGGTTCTCCTAACCGGTTATGACAAGATATAATTAGATGCATCATTTTGTGCGTTGATCTAATCGGTTAGAACCAACCTTCTAACCGGTTATAAGATGCAGTTGATCAGTTCGTGCTCTTTGTCTTGCTCATCTACTTGGTTAGATGATGTTTCCTAACCGGTTACAGGACTGATTTCACAATGTGAGTGTTCTGCCCATTCTCTTACTCGGTTAGATAGACCTTCTAACCGGTTACAATATCTAAGAGATAGGACATTTTGATTTTTCTTTTAAAATGCAAGATCTTATGAAAATGAATTTGAAGTAAATGCATGGGCTTATAGATATGAGCTTCAAATTAATTCATAAATTACTTTGACAGAGATCTTAATCACTCACCAATCTATCTACCCCTTTTTCTTCGAGTCGATCATGATTGCTTTATGCTTAAGGTAAACTTGATTTCTCTCGAAATGGTATTTTCGTCTTGTTTGCTTGGTTGTAATTGCTTTACGTATTTGATCCGTTTTCTCTCCATGCTCAATGTAAACATTAGTCTGAGAACACTTTTAATGTTTTGTAATCATCAAACTCATTAGATGGTCTTTGAATGACCTTTAGGGTCAACAATATTGAAATCAGCCCCAATATTGTTATATGTGGCTGAATCCAGTACAAAGATTCACTGCGCTAAACCTGTGTCCTTCTTTTCTTGCAAGTCAATACATTCTAGAGGAAACCTATTTAAGATAACAAACCCTACTTCCGCATCCATTCCAGAACCACTTTCCATTCCACCTCAATCACTCTCGTCGGTCCGTCCGTCATTCTATTATTCTTTTTGATTTTTCTCTCTCTGTGTGTACTCTTTCCATATATATATTGAAATCAGTCACAACATTGTTCCATGTGACCGAATCGAGTACAAAGATTTCACTGCGCAAAACATATGTCTTTTTTATCTTACAAGTCAATAGATTCCATAGTAAACCTATTTAAGACACAAAAAAAAAAAAAAAAAAAAAAAAAAAAAACACACTCTACCTCAGCATCCATTCTAAAGCCACTTTTCATTCCGTCTTAATCACTCTAGTCGGTCCGTCCATCATTGTCTTCTTCTTTCTGATTTCTCTCTCTCTCTGTGTGCTATTTTCATATATATATTGAAATCAGCCACAATATTGTTCTATGTGATTGAATCCAATACAAAGATTTCACTATGCAAAGCCTATGTCTTTCTTTTCTTGCAAATCAATACATTCGAGAGAAAACCTATTTAAGACAACAAACCCTACCTTCGCATCCATTCCAGAGCCACTTTCCATTCCACCTCAATCACTCTCATTCGTCCGTCCGTCATCGTCTTCTTCTTTTTGATTTTTCTTTCTCTGTGTGTACTATTTGCATATATATATATTGAAATCAGCCCCAATATTGTTTCATGTGACTGAATTTAGTACAAAGATTTCACTGTGCAAAACCTGTGTCTTTTTTTTTTTTTTTTTTTTTCTTACAAGTCAATACATTCCTAGGGAAACCTATTTAAGACAACAAACCCTACCTCCGCATCCATTCCAAAGCCACTTTCCATTCCACCTCAATCACTCTCGTCCGACCATCCATCATTGTCTTCTTTTTCTGATTTTTCTGTCTCTGTGTGTACTCTTTCCATATATATATTGAAATCTGCCACAATATTATTTAATGTGACCGAATACAGTACAAAGATTTCACTGTGCAAAACCTATGTCTTTCTTTCCTTGCAATTCAATACATTCCAATAAAAACCTATTTAAGACAACAAACCCTACCTCCGCATCGATTCTAGAACCACTTTCCATTCTACCTCAATCACTCTTGTCTTTTTCCCCATTTGTCACTCTGTTGGCATAACATCACTTTTCGTGTTCGGAGTTGAATTTTGGCTTCACTAGTTTTCATTTCAGTTGATTTCCTCGAAATGCGTAACATTACTTTTGGAGAAAAGCTCGCCGATTGTTTCTTTTTCCCGTAGGGGCGTGGATAGAAGAATTCTTCAAAAACATTGATGTTTCTTGGGGTATTTTTTATAAATATCTTTTGGAGATATTTTGATTAGGTGTTTTTAATAAAATATCTTTTGGAAGATATTTTCATTCAGGGCAGTTTTGCAGTTATCC